CAGAGATGATCTTAGCATCAGAAAGTCCCTGCGACACCCGTGTGGAGAAGAAATTAGAATTTCTCTAATTCACATTAGAGAAATGTGAGCCGTAGCTGGATTCAAGAGCCATGAGCGAACAGGCGGTAATGGATACAATTGCTAAGGAAGGAGTAAAACAAATAGAAACCTGGGTATCAAATCCTAATGATTAAGAGGAAATCGAGAGGGGTGCCTGGCTGGCTCAGTCAGTGGAGCATACGACTCTTGATCCCAGGGTTGTGAGTTCGAGCCCCACACTGGGTGTAGAGATCACTTAAAAATAAAATCTCTGAAGAAAAGAGGAAAGTGAGAGAGGAGATGATGAAGTACACTGGGAAGAAGGACTGGGCCAGATGTGGCTGGACCAAAAGAAGGCAGATCATATAAGCTAAGAGAAAAATGCAATCAACGAGGTGAAGGACAAAAAGTGTCCCCTGGAGTTGGCAGTGGGGTCACGGGCCTGCCATTTCAGATGATCCATCCCAAAAGTAAAGGCTATCGTGACCAAATAAAAATGCTTCACCTTGAAACTATGAATCTAGAAAGTACGAAAACAAAACAAGGCATTCTGTCCTGTCCGCTGAGCTGACACTGGCATTTACCCTGCTGTTTCACGGTGGCTCCTGCTGGTGCCCGGCTGCAGTAACTTTGTGACTGGGATATGACACAGCATCAACACTGTAGACTAAACTGGGTAACTGCCCGAAAAACTCATCGGCCCCCAACACAATCCTGGTGTCTTCCCTGCACTTCCACAAGCCAGCGGTGACGGGGGGGGGGGGGGGTTGCTGAATCTAGCCTCCCTTTCCTGTACCTGCTCCTGCCCCGCAGCACAGCTGAAGCTCTGGTTCTCGCTTCTCTCACAGGCTGTCCTTCTACTCTCTGATACAAAGTCATCAGAAAGCTGGGGATCTCTTCGGAAGACGAACAACTTGTTTGTGGCAATTCCCTGCTGAGACCATAAAACCAAAACAGAAGCCAGGAAACACAGCCCGGTGTGGACTGGAGAAAGATCTCATAAATGATCTCCCCCTAAGGTAAGCTCGCTCTCGGCAAGCCCTTTCACATGTTAATTCCCTTGTGCCATGTTTCTAACTTCTCATCCAAACCAACAGAGTAGCTTGAATCTATACTACTTTAGCACTTAACAATTTTTTATGGATTGGGGAAATGACATCTAAGGAATGTCAACTGTCACCAACAGTGACTGTGCAAGTACCCACAGGGCCAATAGCAATGTCTCTAGTGACTCAGGGGAACAAAAATAGTCTTTTTTTATCAAAATTAGTTTCAGGTTTCAACTGCACCAGTAAGGAAAATACAAAATTAGAGAAATAAATATTTTAAGAGACGCGCACAGCAGTCTCCGTTTAAATCTGTGACTCCCACCGAGATTTATGCTTTGGTGAGTCACAAGATGAAAACGTTACAAGAGATTTGCTTACTTGACAAGCTGTACTGCTGACATGTTACTCCAGGAGGCCGTGGGGCACAGAGGGAGTAAGACGATGGGCAAATCGTCTACTACTGTCTTGAAAAATGGCATAAGTGATGTTTGTCTTCGTCATTCTTTGCTGATGACACATAGGCAAATCATTCATCACTATCATTTTTTCTGTGCTAATAAACCCAATTAGGCTTGAGGCAGCAAAAATGAGCATCTATGTACAATTAAACACAGTTTCAACAAAAATAGAATTTTTCTGTAAAAGGAAGAACTTTTTTAAAAAGTTGTTTTTATAAAGCTAATATGTATTTATTACAGAATATTCAGAAAATGCACAAAAAGGAGAAAACAAAAATCATCCATAATCCTACCTCCTCACCCCTGGGTACAGCCACTGTTAAATAATGGCACATTTTTAAAAGAAAAAAATATTACTCAGAAGTAATGAAAAATAAAAAGTCAATTTAGCTTAAAGCTTCAAGTGAAATAAAGCTCACAAGGCTGTAGGCATGAAAAATCTTAACCGAAATGGCCACTTATCGTCCCATCATTAGCATCTCCTGCTACATACATAGTCCAGTCCTTGCCTCAACCCAGTTATTTTGAAAAACTTCAAATCTACAGAAAAACTGAAATTAACCCCAGATCACCTAGACTCACCAGCTGTTAACATTTGGCCATATCTGCTTTTCCTCTGTCTGTATACATGTCCTTTTCTGTTCTTGTTGGTTGTTAAACACTTGAGTACTCTAACATGTACTTCCTAAGAACAAGGACATTCTAAGGGAAAGTAATAATTTTTGCGGATTAGCCAAACAGTATAATCCTTTTTTAAAAAAGATTTTATTTATTCATTTTTAGAGAGAAAGGGAGAGAGCACGCACGAGTGGGGAGAGGGACAGAGAGAGGGACAGAGAAAGAGAAGACGAGTGAGGAGGAGGGCCAGAGGGAGAAGCAGGCTGGCAGAGTCCCCGCTGAGCAGGGAGATGGACGTGAGGCTCGATCCTAGGATCCTGGGATCATGACCCAAGCCGAATGCAAAATTTGTACCTCTAGGGGCACTTGGATGGCTCAGCTGCTTAAGCCTCTGCCTTTGGCTCAGGTCATGATCCCAGTGTCCTGGGATTGAGCCCCCGCATTGGGAGTCCCTGCTCAGTGGGGAGTCTCCTTCTCCCTCTCCCTCTGGCTGCCACTCTGCCTGCTTGTGCTCTTGTGCATAAAATCTTTTAAAAAAATCTATAATTCGATCTAGAAGACTGACCAAGACAATGGGGCAGACTCTGTAATACTGTGATTAGCCTGAGGTATTAAAGCTGATTTTCTTCCTCTTCGCCCCACACCATGACTTCTTCCTCTGAAAGTTTCTCAACGTCGCCATCACCGACCTTTTGAGCCAGATAATTCTTTGTTGTGGGGGCTTGTGTGTGTGTTGTAGGATGTCCAGCAGCACTGTTGGCCTCTAGATGCCAGGACCACTGCACACCCAGCTGTAAACCTGAGCGAGTCCCTGGGCATGGCTAAGTGCCCCTGGCAGGAGAGACTCTGCTCTTGAACAACAGGTCCCAGAAGTCCCGATGAGTGGCAGCACGAACGAGGACAGTGTGCATTTATCTCCCTGACGCTTACCACGCGACGTCTTGTTCTGGCATTCTGCAGGTCTGAAAATCATTTAGTCCCTAGAATGAGCCTCTCAACCAGCTGGCGTAGCCCCATCTTACAGATTAGGGATGGACATGGTGAGACTGAACGGCCTGCACAGGCCACACCGACCCCGAGCGGCAGCGCGGGGCTACCTGGACTCTCTCGTGCAGCGCCCACGGCTGCCTGCTCGGACACCTGCTCCCAAACGTGCCCTCACGTACTTACTCCCTGGTACGTCATTTTTCTCTTTCCTACTCATGCCAACCCAAAGCCTTTTCTGGGCAAATCCACTCTATGCCAGCCTTCAGACCACTCCAAGACCACCTGACACAACACCAGTGCCCCGGGCTCCTCGGAGCAGCAGGACTGTTCCTCTGGGAAGGGTTCTAGCAACCACAGAAAGCCTGGGGCGTTGCCCACTCTCGTTCTGAGCAGAAAGTCTCACTGAGGACTTGCTTCCCCCCTCGGGGAGCTTATGTACTAGTTAATCCGGGACAACCTCAGGGAGCTTGTATACTAGTTAATCCGGGACAACCTCAGGGGGCTTGCGTACTAGTTAATCCGGGACAATCGCTCCCACCGTGCCTGGCATGCGGTCAGCTAGGTACCGGCTCGGGGCCAGCTCCTCTTGTCCCTCCAGGATGGCAGCTGCTCTCAGGGCAGGGATCTCTCACTGTGTCCTCACAGAGCCCCAGTGCTGGGCACACACTAATTTCTCAAACATTTTCTGAGTAAATGAATAAACAAAGCAAAGAATGGCTTCCTTCAAAACCTGAGATCCAACACTTAGCGAACACGACTTAGCTAAGCCACTGCTCTTGATTAAAAGTAAAAATACTTTCGCTGGGACATAATCTGCCCCCTCCCCCACTCATGTGTTTGCCTGTGTTCTCTCTCTCTCAAATAAATAAATAAATATGATCTTTAAAAAAATAAATGTTTTTAGCAGAAGTCCATGTACAGGTGAAATGAAGGAGATCCCGTTCGCATCTATAGAGCTGACATACATAGTTTCAACTACTTGTACTGAACACCAAAGACCCACAGCACATGATGAGATGCGCTGCATAAGGCAAACAGGAAAATGTTTCTCAGTTCGTCAGCAGAGCTGGTCTCAGGTCTGGCTTCCATGTTTTAGCTCAGCTTTGATGTTGCAGGATGAACTCCACAGCTGATCTACGGTGACTCCCAGAGATGCTTGGGAAACTGACCCCTATGTGGTTCCAAAGCCTAAGGAATGTACTCGGAGTAGACTCGACCGGCCTGGAGAGGCCGAGCCACATGGCTGAGTAATCCGTTCTCGCCCACCACTCGATGCTCGGAAACCACCCTGCAGCTTAACCGCAGGCCGATGTGGGCACTTGGCAGGTAGGGGAGGGGATCTCTAGGACCCATCTACTCAAGACTGGACCTAGAAGGACCTAGAACAGAACAGCTGTGTTTTCTGACATGTTCCACAACCTTGAGAAGTTTTATTTGTCTTGGAAATGTGGCTGGTCTTTGCAATTATCCCGCCTGCACTTACCACCCAGGCCCTCTTTAGATAAGTGGCCCGAGTTACTCAAACGGTATCTGGGTCTCGAGTTCCATCAGTCCATACCTATAACTATCCTTTGTCACTAGAATCGTCACGCGGTTCTTGGTCCACTGAGCAAGCCGGGCAGTGCCTGTCCGAAGGGGTGCTGCGGGGACGGCTGAGGTGTCCCGGAGCCGAGGGAAGGGACGGTGCCGGGCGCTACACTTCGGTCGTCTGGGCACAGAGCCAGTGGCCTCACCCAGCGCCCTGAAGGGTTGCGCCGGCACAACGAAGTGTCAACCGGCGGCCTCGAGAGCACAGTGCCAGGCCTGCGGTGACTGCGCAGCCCCGCGGCCCTGCCCCTCCACCCCGTACCTCAGGCAGGATGAACTGCTCCACGGGCTTGTACCACAGCCTGTTCACCTGCACGCCACAGCTCGGGGGGCTGAAACGGGCCACGAAGAGAGCCTCCTGCAAACGGGGGTAGGGGAGACAAAAAGAAAGACTTTGTGTTAGACACTGTGTATGCGTCAAGTTTTCCAGCATCTTCTGTCTTGGGCAGCTTAATTCTCGATGGCCCCAGCCAGGGTTATTATGCGTCTCCTGATGCTGAGACACCATCGTGTTTTCTAGCGTGGTCATGGTTATTATGTAGACGTAGATATTTAAGGTAACAAAAGCTGTCCTAAAGTTCTAAAACACGAAATAAAATCCACATAGCCTTAAAAAAAAAAAAAAAGCCCACCTTGAAATGAGGAGCATTAGGGGAAGCATGAGGTGTTAAGTCAAAACGAATTATTAGGCTTAACCCCAAGGGTTAAGAAGAAACTGAAAGATCACGTCTTTCTACACAGAACAAAGGTACTGCAGGAACCCCCCCCCCCCCCCCCTCCCAAAACCCCCCTTCAAGAAAAAAACGGCACGGACACAAAAAAGGAACATAAAAGAAGGCTGATTCACACTGTGTCTCTAGGTACTCCTTATTAAAGGCACTTGGCTCTAAGGCGCTTCGCACAGTGTTTTTTACAATCTGTGGCAACCCCGCAGTGAACGAGTCCAGAGATGCCATTCTTCTGACAGCATTTGCTCACTTTGTGTCTCTGTGTCACATTTTGGTCATTCTTGTGGTATTTCACATTTTTCCTTTATTATTGTATTTGCTTTGGTGATCTGTGATACTGCTTTAATTGTGGGAGAGCCACGAACTGCTCCCAAATAAGATGGCAAACTTACCTGATAAACCCACTGTCCAGCACTTCCTCACCCCGCTCCCTCTCCTCGGGCCTCCCCTATTCCGAGACTCAACAATATTGAAATTCAGCCACTTAATACCTCTACAGTAAGTGTTCAAGTGAAAGGAAGAGGTGCCTGTCTCTCACTCTAAATCAGAAGCTAGTGTGGTCCACAATAGCCAAACGATGGGAAGAGCCCAGATGTCCAATGACAGATGAATGGAGAAAGATGATGTGGGGGATATATACAATGGAATATTATGCAGCCATCAAAAATGAAATCTTGCCATTTGCAATGACGTGGATGGAACAAGAGGGTAGTATACCAAGCGAAATAAGTCAATCAGAGAAAGACAATTATCATATGATCTCACGGACATGAGGAATTTGAGAAACAAGGCAGAGGCTCATAGGGAAAGACAGGAAAAAATAAAACAATATGAAACCAGAGAGGGAGACAAACCCTAAGAGACTCTTAATCTTAGGAAACAAACTGAGGACTGCTGGAGGGGAGGAGGTGGGAGGTTGGGGTAACAGGGTGATGGACATTGGGGAGGTATATGTTGTAATGAGTACTGGGTATATATAAGATTGATGAGTCACAGGCCTGTATCCCTGAAACAAATAATACATTATATCCTAATTAATTGAATTTAAATTTCAAAAAAACTTAAAGGATGTAAACCTAAGAGTTAAATAAATTGTAATACAAGCCAAGTTCACACACACACAAAGCTAGTGTGATAAAGCTTAGTGAGGAAGGCGAGTTGAAAGCAGAGACAGGCTGAAAGCTGGGCCTCCCATTCCTCTTCGTGAACACAAAGGAAAAGTTCCTGAAGGAAACTCTAAGGGCCTCTCCATGGAACACGTGAAGTGGAACAGCCTTCTTGCCGATACAGAGTCGTCATCTGGACAGGGGGCAAAACCAGCCACACCGTCGCCTTAAGTCAAAGCCCAATCCAGAGGAAGGCTCTGACTTCAATTCCATGAAGCCTGAGGAAGGCAAGGAAGCTGCGGGAGAAGAGCTGGAAGCCGGCAGAGGTGGGTGCAGAGGTTAACATAAGGATGGAAAACGTCTCCATAACCTCAAAGAGCCAGGTGAGACCGCAGGTGCTGATGGAGAAGCCGCAGCAAGTTCTCCAGGAGACGGAGTGGAGATCATTCAGGAAGGTGGCTATACTGACCGACAGATTACCAGTGTAGACAAAGCAGCCTTCTGCCAGAAGGAGACACGACCTGCGGCTTTCCTAGCTAGACAGAAGTCAACACCTGGCTTCGAAGCCTCAAAGGACAGGCCGACTCTCTCGCTGGGGCTCATGCAGCTGGTGACCTGAGGGTGCGTGCTCATCTGCCATTCTGCAAATCCCAGGGCCCCTAAGAATTATGCTAAATCCACTCTGCCTGTGCCCTATGAATGCAACTACAAACCCTGGGTGACAGCGCATCCGTTTACGTGTGGTTTCTGGATATTTTAAACCCACTGCTGAGACCACTGTCAGAAAGAAAATATTCCTTTCAAAACAGGACTGCTCAGTGACAATGCACCTGGTCACCCAGGAGCCCTGACAGTGACGTACGAGATGAGTGTTGCTTCCACGCCTGCTAACACCGCATCTGTTCCGCAGCCCATGGATCAAGGAGTCATTTCGGCCTTCAAGTCTTATTATTTAAGGAATACATTTTGTAAGACTGCCACAGACTCCTCGGGTGGATCTGGGCAAAGTAAACCGAAAGAGTTCTGAAAGGATTCACCACTGTAGGTGCCATTGACAACATTCATGAGTCCCGGGAAGAGGCCCAATACAGACATGAACAGAACCTGGAAGGAGCCAATTCCAGCCCTCGTGGAGAACTCTGACAGGCTCAAGTCACTGTAGATGTGGTGGAAATAGCAAGAAAACTAGAATTAGAAGTGAAGCCCGAGGATGTGGCTGAATGGCCGCGATCTCATGATGAAACTTTCATGGAAAAAGACCGGCTTCTTATGGGTGAGCAACCAAAATGGTTTCCTGGGATGGAAGCGACTCTGGGTGAAGAAGCCGTGAAACCGCTGGAATGACGAAGGATTCAGGATGTAGCTGATACAGCAGCTGCAGGGTTTGTGAAGTGGACCCCAATTCTGGAGGAAGTTCTACTTCGGAGAGAACGATATCGAGCAGCATCATGTGCTACAGAGAAATCATTTGTGAAAGGAAGAGTTAGCCAGTGAGGCAACCTTCTTCACTGCTGTCTTATTTTAAGAAATGGCCCTGGCCACCCCAGCCTTCAGCACTTGCTACCACGGTCAGTCGGCACCCACTGACATTGACGTAAGACCCTCCACCAGCAAAAAAATCATGACTTGCTAAACGTCAGATGATGGTGAGCATTTTTTAGGAATAAAGTATTTTTATTTTTTTATTTATTTACTTAAGAGAGAGAGACACAGAGATAGCGAGAGAGAGCACAAGCAGGGAGGAGAGGGAGAAGCAGGCTCCCTGCTCAGATGTGGGCTTGATCCCAGGACCCTGGGATCGTGACCTGAGCTGAAGGCAGATGCTTAATGACTGAGCCACCCAGTGCCCCAATAAAGTATTATTATTTTCAGATTTTATTATTTATTTATTTATTTGAAAGAGTGAGAAGAAAGAGAGAGAAAGAGAGACAATGGGGGGGAGGGTGAGGGGGAAAAGCAGACTCCCTGCTGAGCAGGGAGCCCAGTGTGGGACTAGATCCTGGGACTTTAGGATCATGACCTGAGCCGAAGGCAGTCGCTTAACCAACTGAGCCACCCAGGGCCCCCCAATAAAGTATTTCTAAATTAAGGTATGTGCCTTGTTTTTTTGACATTTGCATTAATATTAATACTATGGCACGTGTAATAGACGATAGTAAAGTGTAAACACAACTTAGAGGTGCACCAAGCAAAAAGTTCATTTGCCTTGCTTTCCTGTGACATTTGCTTTCCTGTGGTGGTCTGGAAGGGAACCCACAGTATCTCAGAGGTATGCCTGTACTGTTTTCTTTGAGTCCTTCCCAGATTGTTTTAGGCAAGAACATTTCCTACTTCTCTCATGCATATTCTTATAGGCCACCTTATTACAGGAGAAACTTCTGTTAAAGCTATGAAGACCACACAGAATTTTAGGATTGGGGGGTTTTAGCGGATTATGCTTATTTCTTTCATTAACACCAGTTCTTGGCCATATAGTGGCAATACCTTTTGTATTTTGAGTACCTGCTAACCTATTAGCATCCACCTTAGAATAGGCCTTTCTTGAGGACAAAGATTAACTTCTTGGCTAACAATATGGCAACTAAAAGATAAATCAACATTATCAAAATACTGTTTGGGCCAAGCCTCTTCACTGATAATTCAAACATTACGAATGGTTTAAAAAAAAAAAAAAGACAACATATACTAAGACAATTAAATGGATCAAAAGGAGGGATGCCTGGTTGGTTCAGTAGGTTAAGCATCCGCCTTTGGCTCAGGTCATGATCCCAGGGTCCTGGGATTGAGCCCCACATAGGGCTCCTTGCTCAGCAGGGAGCCTGCTTCTTCCTCTCCCTCTGCCTGATGCTCTCGGCTTGTGTGCTCTCTCCCTCTCAAAAATAGTCTCTGTTAGCCAATTTAACTGCCTGCTAAAACAAAACAAAACAAAATAAAAATCAATACTCTTCAAGGAATATAATAGATCCAGAGATCCTACGATGAATTATTCATAATATCTAGGATACAATCCAAAGTTACTTGATATAAGACAAACCAATCCATACCCAAGAAAAAAGATAATAATCAATAAAGACAGAACTCAACATGATTCAAATATTAAACTAAACAGACAGGATTTTAAAGTCATTATTATATCTAAGGTCAAACCTGTAAAGAAAATATGTTCAAAATGAATGAGCTCAGGAAATTTTAGAGAAATAAAACTACAAAAGAGAATTAAAGGGACATGCAAGAACTGTGAAGTACAGTATCTAAAATGCATTCATTGGTAAGGTTGAACAGCAGATCTGAGATGGAGAAGAGTCTGTCAATATGAACACAGAAGGAAGGAATTATCGAATCTGAAAAACAGAATTTTTTAAAAATGGACACAGCGTCATGTTCTGTGGAACAATGGCAAAAGGTCTAACGTGCAGGTAATTGGAATCCCAGAAAGAGTGGAGAAAATGGGGCTGAGGAAAATTTTTTGAAGAAATAATAGCTGAAAGTTTCTCAAATTTGGTAAAAAACAGATTTACAGATAGAAGAAAGTTGCCAAACCCTGAGCAGCATAGACAAAAAGAATAAACCACACCCAAGGTACAACACAACTAAACTGCTTAAAACCAAATACAAAGGGGCGCCTGGGTGGCTCAGTGGGTTAATCCTCTGCCTTTGGCTCAGGTCATGATCTCAGGGTCCTGGGATCGAGCCCCGCATCGGGCTCTCTGCTCAACAGGAAGCCTGCTTCCCCCTCTCCCACTCCCCCTGCTCGTGTTCCCTCTCTCCCTGTGTCTTTCTCTGTCAAGTGAATAAATAAAATCTTTAGAACAAACAAACGAATATAAAAAGAAAATCTTAAAGGCAGCCAGGACAAACAGACGAAAAATCCACTTACATATACCATGCATAGGAGCAACAATATGAAGGATAGTTGGCTTATCACCAGAAAAGATTGAAGGTCAGAAAATATTAAAACGGCATCTTTAAACACTGAAAAGAAAAGAAGTCAACCCAGACTTTCTATATCCAGAAAATATTCCAGAAGAAAACAGGGGGAGGGGAGGGAGAGAGACAGAATAAAGACAAAATAAAAACATTTTCAGAAAAATGAAAACGAATCAAATTCATTACAGTAAACTTGCACATTCAGAAAACCTGAATTCAGGAAGGGATGAGGGGCACTAGAAGTGTAAATGTGTGGGCAAACATAAAAGATGATCCTCTAAATTACTTTAATACATGTTTAGCTGTTTAAAGCATAAGTTATAACACTATACTCTTCTTATATTTTACATGAAAGGGTACATTAATTTTAAGAAAAATGACAATATAGGATGTACACTGTAATCTTTCTGTCAACTACACATAAAAAAGAGGAGTGCAAAGAGCTGTAGCTGATAGGACAACAGAGAAACTGAAATGGAATTCTGAAATATACTCAAACCCAAAGAAGACAGGAAAGAGGAACAGAAACAGAAAATCATAGAACAAAGAGCAAAATCAAAAACACTTCAATAACTGCATTAAATGTAAATGGATAAACACTCCATTTAGAAGGTACAAGAGATTCTCAGACTAGATCAAAACGAAGACCCAACTACATGCTGTCTTCAGGAAACACAATTTCTCT